AAGTAATTTAGAATAAAAGTCTTGTTAGCCAGAGACCTGGTGTTAATCAAACACATCCGGATCGATGAAGCGGAGTTCAGCGGCTGGGAAGACCATCTCAGTGATCAAAGGTTGGACCAATTTACACCTCTTCTCAGGCGTCGTGGAAACCAGCAACATGGAAGAGGTGCCGAGAAGTCCAGACCAATGGGTCTAAGGTAAGCGTAGGTGAAGCCAAACACCTGACAGCCACCCCTCCCCTCTTCCCTCGTCTCTTAGGCCACTTAAATTGTTAAATTAAGTTAAATTGTTTTCCCATTTGAGTATTGGTATTGTTATTGTTGAATCTGTATTTGATACAAGTTTATATAGCTTGGATATTATTTTCTTGGAGTCTAATTTTCATAATCTCTTCAATAAATTTGGAGGGTTGTAGTGGGTTATTGGTTACACTAATCTGTGACTTACTTATAGATTTTAGTTGATTGTACTGGAGGAACTGTTCCCTCTGAACTCCATACTTCTGGATCAGTGTATTAAATAATATGAACTGGTAATTTTCAAAAAGGTGATGTAAGTAAGTGATTCCTTTGTGTGCCATGTTGGGAAATAGATAGGATTATTATGTAGTTGAAAATCAGTGTTGTGCCAAATTGGAGTGTATCTACATGGTGCAAGTGATGATTTAGTGATTTTGTTTACTTTCCACCAGGCTGTCAGAGTTGAGAGGATTGTGATGCAGTAATTCATTTTTTTAATAAAGTTTGGTAGGAAGGGAAGGTCTGCAAGTTATTTTTGCAGTAATTTTGTTCTAATTTTATCCATGCACTGTTGTAGCTGTCCTTCTGAATCCATTTGACTTTTACTCCATTCTTCTTTGCAAAACTGATCAAACTCTGCCAGGTTTGAGCAGCTGCCCGGGGATCGGGCGTCAAAAGCCCTTTTCAAGTCCAGGCACAAATTCTCTATTAGATTGAGGTCTGGGCTTTGACTCGGCCACTCCAGAACACTCACCTTGTTGTCTTTAAACCATTTCTGTGTAGCTTTCGCTGTATGCCTCGGGTCATTGTCTTGCTGGAAAATAAATCTTCTCCCAAGCGGTAGTTCTCTTGCAGATTGAATAAGATTGTCTTCCAGGATTTTCCTATATTTTACTGCATTCATTTTACCCTCTACCTTTACAAGCCTTCCATGGCCATCTGCCAAGAAGCGTCCCCACAGCGTGATGCTGTGCTTCACAGTGGGGATGGCATGTTTGTGATGATGTGCTGTGTTTGGTGTCCACCAAACATAGCGTCTTGTCTGATGGCCAAAAAGCACCATTTTGGTCTCATCAAACCAAAGAACCTTCTTTGACTTGACTATGGAGTCTATGATATGAATTTTCTTCAATAGTGGCTTTCTCTTTGCCACTCTACCATAAGTCAAATCAAATCACAATTTGATTTGCCATTTATGCTTAAATAGACAGTCTAGGCATATAGGAATTCTTGTGCAGCTCTCCTTTGGAGTCAGGTAAGGAGTTAAAAGCCAGAAAGAACACAGTCTTAAAAAAAGTTACATAAAGGCAACAAAGCATTAAAACCGCAATACACAAAAATAGGGTAATAGTATTTTCCCCAGGTAACTTCATACATCACACTTATGAAGGGGGGCGGCTGTGGCTCAGGAGGTAGAGCGGGTCGTTTCCTAACCGGAGGATTAGTGGTTCGATTCCCGGCTTGTCCAGTCAACATGTTGAAGTGTCCTTGAGCAAGACATTAAACCCCCTGTTGCTCCCGGTGATGACACTGGTGTGTGAATGTGTGAGTGTTTGGGAGTGCAAATGGGTGAATGGCCAAATAGTGTGAAAGCGCTTTGAGTGTGCTGTAAAGCATAGAAAGGCGCTACACAAATATAAGACCATTTATCATAAGACCACTTAGTAATTCACATGGTGGAGTTGGATATGTCATTATGCTTGGTGAATTAGTGAGGGGTTATAACATACTAAAACACATTTTATTTTCAGGCTTGTTTCCATTGCTTGGTAGAGAATGTCCTGCTATTATTCAGGTCCCACAAGAGAACACTGTTGATGAGATGCTGTTACAAAAATACCTTGTAGAACATTTCTAATTTGCATTTTCATGAATGAAATAAGTATTTGATCCCTTTGCAAAACGTGCTTTAGTACTTGGTGGCAAAACCTTTGTTGGCAATCACAGAGGTCAGACGTTTCTTGTAGTTGGCCACAAGGTTTGCACCCATCTCAGGGGGGATTATGACCCACTCCTCTTTGCAGATCCTCTCAAAGTCATTAATGTTTCATGGCTGATGTTTGGCAACTCGAACCTTCAGCTCACTCCACAGATTTTCTATGGGATTATGGTCTGGAGATTGACTAGGCCACTCCATGACCTTAATATGCTTCTTCTTGAGCCAATCCTTTGTTGCCTTGGCCGTGTGTTTTGGATCATTGTCATGCTGGAATACCCAACCATGACCCATTTTCAATGCCCTGACTGAGGGAAGGAGGTTCTCACCCAAGATTTGACGGTACATGGCCCCATCCATCCTCCCTTTGATGCGGTGCAATTGTCCTGTCCCCTTTGCAGAAAAACACCCCCAAAGCATAATGTTTCCACCTCCATATTTGACAGTGGGGACGATGTTTTTGGAGTCATAGGCAGCATTCCTCCTCCTCCAAACACGGCGAGTTGAGTTGATGCCAAAGAGCTCGATTTTGGTCTCATCTGACCACAACACTTTCGTCTAGTCTTCCTCTGAATCAGTGAGATGTTCAGTGGCAAACTTCAAACGGGCCAGTAGATGTGCTTTCTTGAGCAGGGAGACCTTGCGGGCACAGCAGGACTCCAGTCATTCACGGTGTAGTGTGTTACCGACTATGGTCCCAGCTGCCTTGAGATCATTGACAAGTTCCTCCCAAGTAGTTCTGGGCTGATTCCTCACCGTTCTCATTATCATTGAAACTCTGTTAGGATTGGATTGCAGGAGTTACAGTTGTTTTATTTACTGTTAGTATTATTTTGCTTTTATAATGATAGAGTTTAGTATGACTGTCTGTGTTTCATTAGCAGCACCATGTATCAGTATTAACCTGGCTCTCATGAATGCATTAAAGTTATAATATTCAGCTTTGAGTCAACTTGTAGTATTTTTCATCTTCTTGGAAAATTGTGCAAACTCAGGATAAGCGGTATAGATAATGGATGGAAGAAAAGTGAGTGAGAGGGGTAGATCTGGCATGAGAGGGAAGCATCAAGATGTACTCACTCGTCAAAAATTCATTCATACCTTTTTTTAAAAAGTTATATACTGCAATAGTAATGTATGGTTGTCACAAAATCCCACAGTGCACCTGGACTTGCCTCCCAGTACACAAGTGTGCCATGGCATACCATTTTGGAATTGTTGATCTAGATAAATTAAGTTCTAACACTAGAGAAAGAGGCTAAGAAAAAGATATACATACCTTCCAAAGAATACCACTTTCATGTGCCTGCGGGCAAGCACTTCCCCAATACCTGCCAAATTGGCAAGGTAACTTCGGACGTCCTGAACCTGCTCCTCTGTGGTGACTGGGTCCAGCTCTTCATTTTTGTATGTATCTAATGTGAAGGTGATAAGGAAAAAAAAAAGTCATTCCTACAATAAATTAAATTTCAATAGATAGCCTCTTTGTTAGCCTGTAAGTACAATATCAAACTATACTAGATGTTTTCAGACTGATGTACATACAGTATGTCAATGTGTTGTATCATGTGTTTATTCTTTGAGGACTAACCAAAGTATGAGTATACATTTCCATCTCGATCAAAACATTGCTGAGACAATAGTTTAAATAATTTTATAGCTGCATTGCTCATATTTGCTACACTACCTATCAGTCTTCTCTGTCCTTGCTTTTGCTGTTGAACTGATGTTTTGATCAAACAACCTTTGATCAGTGAAGTAATACCCTAAATAATAGCACCTTTCAAGAGTGCTTCAAATACAAAAAAAGGCAAAACAAAAGATATTTTAAAAAAGCAGGCTGAAGAAAATTAGGTAAAACCACTAGCAAGAACATATTCCATAACAGGGAGTAAACTTGTGTCCTATATACACATATATATATACACACACACACACACACGACTTAGTTTCACAGACGGGGCAGGAGGGGCAAAAAGAAGCGGAAGGAGGAGGAGGAGGGGATAATGCTTGAGTTTGTTTTGACTCTCCCTTTGCCCTTAATGGTCGCAAATTGGAGACACATTTTGTCATATTCAGCTAAATTTTCCTCACATTGCTCTGCCTGGCCTTTCAGTTTGACATGTCTTCAATACTTTGTCTGAGGTCCACTCACTGAAATCTGTTTTACACCTAAACCAACAAGTGAATGTCTGTCATAGCTATCATTTTTCTTGAGTAACTTTCAAATTAATAATGATAGTAGTGTCATTCCAAATGCCAGCAGTAGGTTTTCATGGTCCACCAATCATATTATGAGGGTCAAACTATCATGAGAATATCGCTTTTATGGCATTATGGGGAAACTGAGTTGCCCTTGGTGAAGACATGCACTCTGAGTAGTACTGTCTAGGTTTTACTATTATTAGTAATTATTAATAGTTAAGTATTAATTATTAATTTCAGTCTGGAATCCTTTTGTCCCTTCCCTACTTATATACTATCATGATTAATTGGTAATGAACCCATTTCATCCCTATCTACTGCCTAACAAACATACAAATGAGTGGAGGTACTTACTATATATTTCAATGCACATTATATTATGACAAAACTCTTAATATGATTACAACCCTGCAAGAGACTGCATAGTATTTGCATGCTGTTACCCTATGTGTTGGGCTGCTCTGAACAGACTACTTTTGTATACCACTACATCCCTCAGTGTGAAGAATGAAACAAGCCTTACAGGCAATGTATACTGCTGACATTATGGCAACATACAGTATGTTATTGGTGATGGTGTTGGTTGACTTTATTAAACAGAAATGACACAAACTTCATACCTACATTAGCAGTGATGGCATCAAGTTCACTAATAAAGGCCGGCAAACTTTGCAGCTGCTCATGTAGCTGTGTGAGAGCCGTTCTTCTTCTCTCCCAGTGTGCTGAGAGCATCACTAGGTCCCCATCTACTGTCTAACAAGCACACAGAGAGGTGGAGGTAAGAGAGAGCAGAGGACAGCTGGTAATAAATATCAGCTTATCACAGTTAAACATTTGTTAGTTAAAAAAAAAAAACAGCTCCTGTTAGTGCTTCAAAATAACTAATACTTTCAACCTCTCACAAACAGACTGGCACTTCTACCATGTGATTTCTGGTGCACAGAAAACACCTCACATAGTTAATTTGTACTCAGCTAATATTCATTTCAATAGCATGACAATGCAGGTGAAACCATTTTTGAAACCATTAATTAAAATGCTTATTTTCACCCAATGAATATTTGGTTTGTAAAAATATACATAGGTAATGGTGAAACTTGCTCATCACAATTTAAATGGGTAACTGCTTGATTGGCAGTAAAATTTCTGTTAATTGACCAGTTAACTAATCATCATCATAACTATTGTCCTTGTGCTGTACCAAAAAGGAAGTGTTTTCCCATTATTTTCTCTGTTAATTTCATGTCTGTACTGGAAGCCTACATGTCTTGTGTAGATTGACATTTGCTGTTTGTGATCGCCTTGCCTCTATATTTTAGAGTTGGGTTTTATAGTATAATGTAGATTGTGAAGGACTGCATCAGCTGGAAGGACATGGGCAAATTTCTTCTACAACAGCCTGCCAAATATCCACCTCTGTTCACAAAGGCAATTAATTAGATCAATTACCAGCCACACTGCAATAAAATCAGCTGGTCATCCTGCTGTTATAAACAGTCATGATGTTAAGAATGTCTTCATATTTGTTATAAATGTTTATAACAATATGACATAAGTTATCTGAATGGCTATTCAAAATGTGTATGTGCACAGTAAGAGTCACAGCAGAAACTCTTATTACACACAATCCAGTTTTTCTAATCTCTTACACAGCAATTCACTCTAAATTACAATATCAATAAATATACATTATCTACTAAATAGTTGGGTATAAGGTTGTATATATTTTCATATTTCCAGATTGGCTTCTAAAATAACAAAGGGAAAAAACAGCTTATTTGGTGATCACTTGTGTAACTGCAAATAATTTTAATAATTTAATAAGTTATTAATAATAGCCTGGGTTATCAGGTTTAGCTTATGTAATTATGGCCATTTAATATGGTATGAGAAGGCCTTTTTTCTGGGTAATCATCATTCTCTAGACATCCTTCCAACTTAGAACTCCTCAGGTGAATGCTTATATGCTAATCTATTATCACACCTTTGGGCAGTTAGTGTAACTCATTTAAATTAATATTGGGTAGGAAGATATACACTTCAGAATTATTTATTATGTCTTTTATATGGTGTAATAAAGGTTTTTGAAAATGGTCGAATAATTCACATTTCTGACCAAATATTTGTGATAAAAAAAACTCAATTTTTTTCTAATAGATCACTCACAAGCAATAACCCTCCTCTGACACCAGTGAAAGTGAAACTGTTTTACCAGAAACAGTAATCACATTTTCCATAAGGTGGGACTGTGAGGTGAAAAGTGGTGAGAATATATCATTTGCCAATAAAACAGCACATGTTTATAGAAGTTTGGCAGTTTTAAGGGAGGTTTTGAGATTTCAAAATGACGTTATAAAAATTCTAGCCCTAGTGCGATAGGAATGTGGAACATAGTGAAACATTACTGGCATTTGTTCTTACTCAGAAAATTAAAGAGAACAGATTTCATCGCTTTAGTAGTTTTCTGAGACATGTAAAATAAATAAATGGGTGAGTTCAATTAGGTTTGTAGCTTTTTTTGTTAAAAGTTTGTGTAAAAGTATATTTCTCCAAAATATTAAGACTGGTAAATAACAGCACTGGTACTGATGTTCACACAGGCACACCACCTACCCCAGATTACTGTATATTATGAACAAAAGCAAAATCTTCAGACTGACTGGGGCAGGGTTGGGGTTAATAGACTATCGCCTTGTAGGTTTCAAAAGTCACATTCTCCCACTTATTCTTTGATATCACAGCAATAATTTAATTTATATATAAATACAATAGGGTTAGTTTTTTTTTTTTTTTTAAAACAGGACCTCCAGCATTTGGATCAAGTAGCCTGAGCTGCAAAATACCGTGTCAAATTAAGTAAGATTGCTTCCAGCTGTTATTTCGTGTTATAAACACATTTAAACAATATTTTTTGCAAGTAAATAACTGTATCTGATATTGACAGATAAACAATTATTGCACTTGGACTATTGTTGTCACAATACTGGAATTTCTAACTTCGATACAATACCTTGAAAAATATAGATGTCCAATACTGCAGGGAAAAACTGACACCCCATTAAGGGCATAACATTTTACATTTTATTTAAAAGTATAAAAGCTATAACATGACAATGAGGTATGACTTTCTTTTCTTGGCTAGGAGCAGAAAATAGCAGAATGACTGTAAATATAGGGTGTAATCTCAAAGGGGGACCAGGGGACATGCCCCAGAGGTGGAAAGTAACTAAGTACATTTACTCAAGTACTGTACTTAAAGCAACTAAGTAACTTGGCAGTTTGCCGCTCCCTACAGTTGCTGAATGTAATTGAGTGTACCCAACTGTTGTAAATACTAGTTGTGCTGTCCCCCCTCTTCATGGACAACAGCACATGGCATTTTTGTACAAGACAAAGCTCTTACTGAACTGTGAAAGACAACAAAATAATAGTAAAGTAATATTACAGAATTTATTTGCTGTGACACTGAAGCTGAACAGTCATAATACAAAGAATAACATATAATGGCAGTTTATTTCAAATTAACACAGTCACAATCTCCCCGTGCACAATCTGAAGTAATGAATTCTCAACACAATGACTCCTTTACTGAGATAAAAGATGGTCTAAAGATGACACGAGAAGCCCAGTTCTATAAGCTAAATAGAATTGTTTACATATTTACAAAGGGAAAAGAGAATCAGGATTGTAAAATAGAGCAGATGGTACATAATGAAACAATGAAATGAATGAGTGAGCGATTGTGGAATAACAAGTTAAATTGTCTTAAATCATGTTAGATTTTGCATCCAAGTTCTACGATTTAAATGACAACTTGGAAAGGAAAATAATTAAAACAAGTTTCTGGAAGTTATGAGGTTTAGGAGAGACAATTATGGCACATCAGCTGAAGCCAAGAGGTTACTTAGCTTAGCTGTTAGCACTGAAGTTCCACATGGCCAGGGAAGAAGCAGTCTACTTTCGAAACCTATTCTGAGCTCAGAGTGGAGTGGTCTGAAGTGCTGGACACTTTTTGGGCTGCCAGCTCAGAAGATGTCCATCCTTGTCAGATCAATCTTCTCCCTCTTTTCTGGTGAGTTCTCCCCAGTCTGTGGCAATGGTTTCAACTGTCAGCCGGGCCAGAGGTCCGGTTTATACACGTGGCCTTAAAGCTGTCAAATATACCCACATCTAATTTACTCTGATCACCATTGGATTGTTCTGATGGCATCTCTATAGCTTAACACAATTGGGATAAAAATAAAATTTTATTTAAACTTTGTATACAAACATTCTTTGGCTGCAAAACTTCAGCTAGCATATGCTGTCTTCTCTTATTCATAAAGACGAGACAAACTTCAAAATCAAAAACACTTCATGCGACATACAATTTAGACAAAAATAAATCAAATGAAAAAAAAAGATGCGGATGAAAGATGCAAACAAACAAAAGTTTCAATGGACAAATTCTTATTCAGGAAAGGCTAGGCTTACCAGTTATTTGCTAATTTAAGCACTTGGCTTTATCTCACCGGCTGAGACTGTAAGCTGCAGCAGAGGTTTCTGACTGGTTTAGATCCATTATGGAAGAGGGTTTCCACCCTCTCTGGGAGTGACCATCAGTTTTAGACTTCACAGAGAAATTAATGTATTTCTTGTCTCAGTTTATTTTATGATCTTCCTCCTACCATGGCTGACACTGAAATGTACATGTTTATAAAACAAAATCAAAGTGATTAGGATAAAACTAAACTGTACAACCTCATAGGCTATGATTCAAACCCTGTAAAATCAGTGACAATAGTGCCAATAATAAGAAGATTGTCAGATGGTTGTGAGATTGAAATGCACATGGACAGTAACAAAAGGGGGAATGTACTGAGTTTGTGCAAAACAGCAAAGGTAGTCTTTTTATGTTCTGTGGTGGGTTACAGTCCAGGGGCTGGGGGCGGGGGTAATGGACAGCATTCAGCATCCTCACAGCCTGGAGGATGAAGCTGTAAGTCTGGTGGAGTGGGCCTGAATGTATGAAAATCCCAATTTAACCTCATTAACTCCACTTGGAATTTCAGACATGCTGGCACCGCGTATGGCTGCCTTGTTAATGCTCTCTCTCATGTGTGTTTTTCCTCGTACAGTCTTATGCAAAAGTTTAGGCACCCCTTGATAAATAACAGATTTTGGTGATTTTTTATTTGAACAGATGTTAACACAGTTTTTCTTGGAAATGGAAAAAATGCACAATATTTTCTGCAAACAGTGATGCATAGTTACTTCTTATGCCATAAATTGAACAAAAATAAAAAATAAAAACATTATTATGGCATGGTGCAAAAGTTTGGGCACCCTACACAATCAGTACTTAGTAACACCTCCTCTGGCAGATATCACAGCTTGCAAACGCTTTTCATAGCCAGCTAAAAGTCTTTCAATTCTTGTACTTGGGATCTTCTCCCATTCTTCCTTGCAAAAGGCTTCTAGTTCTGTAATATTCTGTGGTCGTCTTGCATGCACAGCTCTTTTAAGATCTACCCACAAATTTCCAATGATGTTTAAATCAGGGGACTGTGATGGCCATTCCAAAACCTTCAGCCTGCGTCTCTTGAGGTATTCCATAGTGGATTTCGAGGTATGTTTAGGATCATGGTCCTGTTGTAGAAGCCATCCTCTTTTCAGCTTCAGCTTTTTTACAGATGGTGTGATGTTTGCTTCCAGAATTTGCTGGTATTTAGTGGAATCCATTCTTCCCTCCACCCGTGCAATGTTTCCTGTGC